TCCCGTCCCATCTTGTCCCATCCCATCCATCCCATCTGGTCCTATCCGTCTCATCCCATCCCAGCTATCCTGCCCCATCCCATCCCCCCTGTTCTGTCCCATCCCATCCCATCCCATCCCATCCCATCCCATCCACCCTGTCCCATCCCATCCCATCATGTCCCATCCCATCCATCCCGTCCCATCTCATCCCATCCCATCCCACTCCATCCCATCCACCCTGTCCCATCCCATCCATCCTGTCCCATCCCATCCCATCCTATCCCGTCCCATCCATCCTATCCCATTCATCCCATCTGTCCCATCCCATCCCATGCATCCCGTCCCAACCATCTCATCCCATCTCATCCATCCCGTCCCATCATGTCCCATCCATCCCATCCCATCCCATCCATTCTGTCCTATCCCATTCATCCTGTCCCATCCCATCCTGTCCCATCCAAACCCATCCCATGCATCCCACCCCACCCCTGCCACCATCGCCCCCGCTCACCGTAGGAGCTGCAGCTCACGTGCGTCTCGGGGTAGGACTTCCAGAGGATGCGGTCGCACCAGGAGGGCACGTTGGTGCGCACCTGCCGGGGTGGCACCGCCGCCGTGGCACCGGTGCCACCATCCCCACGCTCCCCACGCGCGCCACGGCCACCTACCCCCGTGGGCTTCTGCTTGTGCCACACGTAGGTGTCGCGGGAGCCGCGCTCGTAGCGGTACGTGGGCGGGAAGGTGATCTCCTCCTCACCTGGGSATGGAGAAGGGGGTCGGAGCGGGACCCCCGCCAGACCCCGTGCCCCACGGCGCCCGGTGCCCTCACCGAAGCGCAGGAACACCTTGTGCTTCTCCCTCTCCAGGTTGAGCTGGTCCACCTTGAGCAGCGGCTCGAACTCCTTGCGGCTGATGTAGTTGAGGATCTCCTGCGGCCCAAGGGGCGACGTTGGCACCGGGCACACGCAGGGGACCCCCTCCCCGTCCCCCCAGCACCTGGATGTCCATGTCGAGGCGGTAGTTGAGGTCCCCGAACCAGAAGAGGTGGGTGAAGCGCAGCGAGATGTCGAAGGAGCTCAGCTGCTTGTCGCCCAGCGAGAGCAGCCGCAGGATGTCCAGGTAGTTCTGGTTCCTCCTGGTGGGGCGCACGGGGGGTCAGAGGTGGGCGCCCCACCGTGCGTGCCCCACCGCGTGCCCCGGCCCGCGCCCACCTGCCCGTCTTCTCGTTGCCCGACGTGAGGTGGCAGTTGACGAAGCCGAAGGAGGTGCCGTTGAACATGAAGGAGACGCCCACGGCGCCCTTGTTGCCTGCGGGGAATGGGGGGACCATGACGGTGGAGGTCGCGGCGGGACCCCCACCCGACCCGCGCCGCCTACCCAAGGTGTTGGCGATGCCCGTCTTGACGCTGGACGTGCTCACGTGGCTGATGCGGTTCTCGTGCTCCGGCTTCACCAGCACCACCACTTTGATGTTCCACAGGGACTGCATGGCGACCTGGGCGGCCCCGCGGGCACCTCAGCGGCGCCGCCGGGCACCCATGGGTGCCCCCTGCCCTGGAGGGGCTCCTACCGGGCGGTACTCGAGCTCGGTGAAGTCCTTGAGGGCGGCGCGCAGGAAGTCCACCCACTCCTTGTCGCCCATGGAGTTCTCCTGCGTGCCGAAGACGTAGATGTCGTGCGGGATGGTGACCGTCATCTCGTCCAGCGTCTTGCCCAGCCCCTTGGAGGCCACCCACGACGTGACGCTCTTGGGGGGCGGCACGGCGCCTGGCGGGGGGCGCGCGGGCAGGGTGAGCGCGGCGGGGACGGGGGACGGGTGACGGGCACCCGCTGCCGTCATCGCCCGCGCTCACCCATGTTCCAGGTGCCGATGAAGACGGAGATCATGTCGGGCTCGTCCTGGCGCGAGTGCTTGTTCTTCATGAGCTGCAGGAGCTGGCAGAAGGCCTCGCGCTTCTGCGGCGGGGCGGGCGCTC